TAACAATTTATTGAATAGCAGTTGGAGGCGACCTATAAAAATGATAAAAAATAACTTCAATTGGGTACACAATATGATATAAATTTAACAATGCGTCTCGTCTATGCGATTATGAGTAATTTTATTAAGACTGTATTGGTCACGCGGTTGCACAATATTGTAGATACCACGCGACGAGGAGGACGCGAGTCCATATAATTCCGACAAATTCGTTCCAGTTCTATAAGAGAGGAAGAGAAATACAGCAGCTTCATCGCAAGAAGCGCCGCGTCGCGCCGCGCCGCGTCGCGTCGCGTCGAGTCGCGTCACACCGCCGTGTAATTGTCTTCGGCTGCAAAAGCGCGCAGTCACACCTTATTTATAATCCCGTCGATTCATGACGCTCTATATATCGCTCTGCCGTACCGATAATTAGTTTTCGCGTGTGCGAACGTATTGTCGCCTGTTTTACACGAGGAAGAACCGCGATCGATCCAACTATCGAAGAAAATGCGAATAAAGTGCAGATAATTTTTTACTAAATAGTCAACGATACCGGCGAGAAGAGATATTCACTGATGTTTACTATAAATATATTGTTGATTTTTTCGAGAGTCAACCAGCATTGAATCTTGTCTTCATTATAATTTTATGCATACGTTGTCCGAGACAACGTCCGGTATTTTCGTTATTTCGCAGCGCGAAATTAAATATCGCGTAAACGTATCCGATCGGTACGACAGGCCGATGTAAATCAAAACGCTCGTTATAACAAAATCTGACGGAGAATAGATTGTGCTCATATTCTCCACGTACGTAATATTTCTGGTTTCTTGAGAGTTCCACTACGGGACATTCATCAAAACCGCGGGGGAATTTTTCACCGGTCTACCTTCGGTTTCTCTCTTTCGTCTTTCTTTTTTTTTTTTTCCTGCCTCTTTTTATTCTGTTTCAACGCGTATCGATGATTCGCTAGCTGTTTAGCATCTCTGACTTGCTAACGACTCATTAAAGCCGAAGGGTAATTTTTCACTTGCCCGCTCATTAATATTCCTTCTATGCCGCAAACTCTCTCGAGCCATTCACCGTGTGTAGCGCGAGAAACGTTGGAAATCGTCGTCGAATCCTCTCGTCGCACTCTCCTTATGGTCAGAGATAATGAGCACGCGAGATAATAATGCGGAAAGATCCTTTGGGATTCGGGATATCTCGACTCCCGACGTCGGGAGAGACCGGCGTAATTCCGTGTGGCTGCAGTCGACAAAAAGAAGTCGATTGAAAATTGTTGCGCCTTGTAAAAAGCGCGCATAACGTACGTGCCGTGAGAATTAATTCGCTGTAACTTATATATCCTCTTGGCTCATCAGAAGTACCAGTGGAAATATATATATATACCACGGACGGTTTCTGCGTAAAAATCTAGGTGTGAAGGATGCGAGCATCCGCTGTACTGTTGCGAAAACGCGACCGCGTGTTGTGTTCATTGGACCACAACGCCTGCGATCATCGGATGGAGACGCGCTATAAAGGGCACCTCATCATTCTCTCAATGCCACCAGCGTCGTCGATTAAATCGGCGTCATCAAGATTACACCTGGCTTAATTCAATTCTCTGTGATTACAGAGTTGAAGGGCGTAGGGGTTGCAATCGGTTCTCTCTCTCTCTCTCTCTTCTCTCTCCCGTTAGAGAAAAAGTCCATTTCCATAAATCGACTTACCATGCGCCCATCGCGCACCGCCAATTACCGAGCACCCTGTATACTCGCGTTGCACGACGATATCCCGCGAATGCCGGGCGTAACCGCGTCGAGAATTGGGTGCCGGGCGTAGCAAGCGGCAACGGGAGATACCAGCAGCAGCAGCAGCAGCAGCAGCTAGAAACGACCAGGAGGAGAGAGAGAGGTTGGAAACTGTGATGCCCGCAAAAAGCATGGCAGACAGCGCCGATCGTTTTTGCTCGGCGTCAGCCGCGTTCCTACCGCCGCGTCGTCGTACTTCGTGGTGGTACATCGTTCTACCCTCTCGCTCCTCTTCCTCTCACCCCTTGGCTCTCACTCCCACTCTCTCGCGTTCATCCTCTCCCTTCTTGCCTCCCTTCTGTCCTCTTCGTCCTCTCTCGGGCATAAGTTCTCTCTGTCTTTCTCTCTCTCTCTCTCTCTCTCTCTCTCTCTCTCTCTCTCCCCCTCCCCCCCCTCCCCCGGTCTCCTCCTATCTCTCTCGCTCTTGCTTTATCGCTCTCTCGCCTTCTCTGTGTCTTTCTCTTTTCGCTGTGACATTCGGGTTGTCGCGATCCATCTATCTGTCCGTCTCTCCATCTCTCTTCCCATGTTCCGTTCGCCTCGGGATCGTGCAAACGGATGGGATTACCTTCTCCTCCTTCCTCGCGGTTTACGCATCCAGGAAAATGGATTACATCGTATTGCTGCGAGAGAATACGAATAGCGGCATTCGCTCGGTGATGAAAGCGCATGGTTCTGGAATCGAGGTTTCGTCATTGACTTCATCATTGGCTGTCAGGATGGACCGGTGCGCGAAAGGCGATATTAGAGTGGAACAATCGGGTATCGCTTTTGACTCGTACAAATGGAATTTATTCAATTTTCACTTGTTGGCTCTAATTGTCTTGATCAGCTATCACCAGTCAGATGGCAATTCAGCGCATATTGGAATTTTTTGCATATATATATATATATATAATATATATATATATATAAATAGGAATTTTTGTATCTGCTTTGAATTATATATTTGCCCGTTTTGAATTTCCTCAAATAATTGGGCAAGCATTTATCGATCGAATCGAGAATTAAGAACGGCTCAAGAAACGTGATCTAAGTATTATCGATACGTTTCGATTTCGCGAATCCTTCTCGCAGAGGAGACTTGGATCCCGAGTGTATCCTCAAGCTCCTTCTTAGGAACATCTCCGCGGCCCCTGACAGGCTTGACTAATGGTCATCCTGCATCCGCCCTCCGGCTTTATAGTTCTCCGTCTCTTTCCTTTTCTCTCTCCACGGTGTTCACGCAACGCGACATCTCCGTCTCTCTTCTTTCGCATCATCGGGGATATCAACCGCTTCGAGAGCGTTCTAGTTCTAGTTCGCTAACGAAAGGGATCAACGAGTTTTCTAACTTGCTCGAAATCATCTCAGACTCGACAAATCGTACAAATATTTCGGCCGCACATTCTGAGAGAAAAAAATTTACAGATTTATATAGACTTATTTATTTTTTTTTTTTTTTTATAAATTTCAAATATTTCGAATAATAGTTTATTTCAAATAGTTTATTTCAACGGATTTTATATCTAAATATTCCTAAATCGTTAGACATAAAATCCGTTGAAATAAACTCTTTGATTATTCGAAATATTTGAAATTTATAAAAAAAAATAAGTTTATATAAATTTGTACATTTTTTCGAGTCTGAGATGATTTCGAGCAAGTTAGAAAACTCGTTGATCCCTTTCGTTATATTGAGAATAAATCGTATTGTTACAAAATTGACTGTTGGGATAATTAGGAAACCTGTGCTAAAAATGTCTGACTGTCTGTTGTATATGCATATATCTTACTATGAGTAAGATTTTTTTTTCCATTCCCTACAACTGTATCAATCTTATGTAGGGTGAAGCGCATTCTCAGAGATTTTTTCTCACAGGTCTATAAAGTATTTAGTTGTGTACAATGAGTAATTGTTATATTCATATGCGCCCTTGCAGAAAATTGTGGAACAAAACGGCCATGAATGAAAGATCTTTCCTCTTTTTTTTTTCCTTTTATGGAGACAGTAACTTGGTTACTCTCTATTGACCTTTTCATGTTCAACTTCTTTTTTATTATACTTCAACTATGGCAACTATGCAGCTAGTTGTAAAACTGTTTTCTCTGCAGAACAATTCCTGTAAGCCATAATATAACCAAGCATTGCTTATCGACCTAACTATATTGTCTCGTTTTCCGAGAATTTCAGACTGCAAGAGTGACAAAAGCATGACTCTGTATTTTTTGTTAGCGTCGATACAAATCAACGAGGCACAATAGCTTATATTAATAACGCTATTTTGTCGATCTTCACAGTTTTGCAAGACGGAATATAGCAATCACACTACAAGATTAATCGCGAAACCAATATTGACCTTCGTTTGTCGTCAAATTTCATGAACCATCCTCGCAGTATTATTTATACATCGATTTATACGCAACTCGTCTCTATCCTCAGCAGAATACGCGATCGTAAAATTCTGCGCGGTCCTCGTAAATTAGTTAAACGAGGAGCTCCGATGGAACTCTCGTACGAGAGTCTAAACCGCGCCTGCAAGAATGTAAAAAGCCCAAAAAGAGGAACGAAAGTGAATTATTTATTCGAAGCATTCTTCGATCGTTACTATTTGCCATTTTTAATATATCTCTGAAATTTTAATAATTTAAAAGTTCAATAAAAGTTGCATTAAATAGACCTTTGTTTTTTTTTTTTATTAGACCCTTTCTCGTTACAGTTTTTGCTGTTTCTCATTGTCAGTACAAATCGTCAATTTGTTCAACAAATATTTACACCTATGCATCACCCGCTATACATATCTACAGACAGTTTCATTAATCTGACATCTGATACGTGCGCAATTTACAATAACAATGCAATAGCTGCGAATAACAGAAGGAAAAGATATTCGTCCGCATATTTTTCGATGTTATCGACAAATCGAAGATTCTTTGTTTTTTTTTTTGTTACAGGGAGGGAATAATAATAATACCTGCGCTTTTCGCATCTGGGCGTAAAAACAAAACGCGCGAACAAATAAATTCTCGCATCGTTTTTAAATAATATATTTTCTTCGATTTTTCATAGGATATTTGTCCTGTTAAATAATGGGAAATAGATAGAAAACGTAACATACAGTGCAACGTACAGTGAATTACAATGAAAACATCTAGATGATAATAAAACTTATAAACGAGTATTCTAGTACGCGATTGTCAATTTTTTTTTCATTCTTCAACAGCTGAATTTTTGTGTTTCAGTAAGCAAGCTGTGTTCGACGGAAAGAAAGCAATTAGGGGCGGCATACCGTTCGTCTTTCGTAAGTATAATAGATGAAGTGATACATCATGTTTACGACTGTATAGGAAAGAAAAGAAAATAATTTTGTCGAAAGTTTAAAGAGCGAAGACAATTTTAAACGCGTATCCGAACTGCTGGTAAAAAGAGCCAACTGGAATACCGTGAAAATTTGACTGAAAGTCTAATTTAAAAAACATGTAAAAATATAATATCAGAATTTAAAAATTCAAAAAGCATAAAACGTTAAAAATTAATAAAACAATTTTTTTTTATTAAAAAAAAATATTTTTTAAATAAAAAATAAGAATATGTAGTTAAAACTCGCTACTACCTCATTTTCTCTTTTCATGACTTTAGGTTTAGCGGAAAGCAGGATTTGTAAACAATTATTCTATTAATATAATTAATATAATATTTTTTATGAATTATTATTTTTAAGTATAGCAAAGTTTGATCTGTCATTTAGAAAAAACAAAATTTCTAGTATTTTGATTCAGCAACTTTAACAATTTTGTATTATTTACTTTTATAACAATTCATTTATTTTTCAAATTTTGATCCACTGCACTGGAAGCGCCGTTTTGAATTTAAAAATTTAAATGTCATATTTGGATTCAACGACCTCGGAATCTTAGCATGATCATTATTATAAAAATTTAATTATTTTTCTAAATTTGAATTGTCATATTGGATACGTCATTTTAAATTTGAAAATTTTGATATTATATATATTCGGATTCAGCGACCTCAGAAATCAGAGGAAACAAGGATTCAGACAAGGCGATATAATATTAGGTTGAGTAAAAAGTCATCGTGTATTTTTTAACTCAAAGTTATATATACAATATCTTCGTCAATAAAATGAATGAAATTCAAATTTAAAAAAAGGGTTTTAAAGCTTGAAATCTCTACTTTTAAAAGCTTATCACATTTTTTAGGTTTATATGAGTTTGATAATTTTTACATACCAAAAACTACGAGCTGAAAAAGACGAAAAATTTTCTTCTCACTTTGTGGATTTGTAACGTGTCCAAAACGAATTTGAGAAAATTTTCGATTACCTATCGTGAAAGCTTGATACTTTCCCTACAAAATCGTTTTTTTTTAATATTCCTACGACTTTTGATTACTGAGTTATCGCGGATTAAATAAAAGAATTATTTTGACTTTAATTGCTCATAACTCCATTAAAAATTGTCGTATCGTATAATTTAAAAAAGAGATTTTTAAAGCTGAAACTTTACTCTATTAAGATATATTTATATTGTTGGTAAGAAAGTAATTGCGGTTTTTACTGATAGATGTCTTTTAAAAAAACGCGATGACTTTTTACTTAACCTAATATTTTAAATATCGACTTACATCATATATATGGTACGTTACATATTGGTGACATGTGTTTTTTGTGTGCACATATGCTATACAGTGAAAGGGTTAAGTGAAGCAAAGTTTGATCTGTCATTTAGAAAAATAAAATTCTGGTATTTTAATTTAGCGACTTTAAGAATTTTGAAGTACTCGTTTTTATAACAATTCATTTACTTTTCAAATTTTGATCCGCTACATTGGATTCGCTATTTTGAACTTTGAAATTCTGATATTATATTCGGATTCAGCGACTTCAGAAACCATAGGAAACCAAGATTCAGACAAATTACAAGATGGTTTTTTTTTTAGACGTGCGTACGAGAGTAATTCGAAAAGTTCTCGGCCTGACAGAAATAACGCTGAAATATCAAACGGTTAAAATTTGAAACAAGTTTGATTCTTTACAGGGCTAAATTGTTAAAATTTCAGACAGATGCATTTATTAGTTTCATTATTTCGGTCGTGTAAAGCAGCAACCAGATCACGTGAAACCTGGTAAAATATGATGCTTGCGGGACCAATTCATGGAATTTTGCGACTGCAATTGAAGAAATGTGAGCGGTTGCATTGCCATGATGAAACCAAAAGTTGATTGCTTTACACGACCGAAACAAAGAAACTAATGAACGCATCTGTTTGAAAATTTAAATTTATTAAAGTAGCCCTAAAAGTAAAAGATCAAATTATGTCTAAAATTTTCATATTTGTGGCGTCATTTTCTGTGTCAGGTCGAGAATTTTTCAAACTTATTCTTTATACATTACACACTGGTGGGGCACGTCCTTTTTGCGTGCACACATATGCTTCGTGCACACAATGAAGGGATTAAATACGATACGATGCACGTTATCTCCGCAGCACAATTCGGAACATGGACGTACGGACCACCCCACGGCTTCGCCAGGATCATTCGTTGGAACGTGGAAAAGACGCCGGAGCGATTGCCCAGCGGGGACATCGAGGCGATATTCTCGATAATGGACAATGAATTCACGCGATCGCTGTGGAATTCACAATTCAGGCTAACGTACAGGCTAATATTGCGCGAGAAGGAGCTGCATTTTAATATTGGCGTATACAACCCGAGCAGAGAAGATCCTTTCTCCTTTAATCTGCTCCTACACACTTATTTCAAGGTACCCGATGTCAGGAGATGCCAAATTACGGGGCTGCACGGGTGCACGTTCCTCGACAAGGTAACTCAAGCCTCTTCTGCTCTTTTAGTTATATACGAGTACAATCCGTTTATTTAATTAAAATATAAATTGATCGAAAGATTTCGATTCGCGTTAGAAATTGTACTGTAAGACTCACTGTAAGACTCACGGAAAAGAATCGTTTATTTTCAATTAATCTTAACTAGCTGATTATTAATGACTCAGCGTTACCGGCGGAGAGTCGATTTTAAAACTTGCGCAAAAGGATCTGTTATTACACACATAAAGGCCAGTCATTAAAGAGTCGGCTTAGAGCGGTGTGTACGATGCTCCGTTAAATCCGGAGCACGATCGATTACATATCGTGGTCCTATCAAGTTGTGTTTCATTCGCGCGCACACAGACTAGGGACAACCAAATCTACCAAGAAGGCCGCGACGTCGTCACGGTGTGCGAATGGACCGACCGGATCTACCAGAATACGCAGCCGGAGCATATCATCACGAATGTCGTTTCCGGTAGGAAAATGCGCGTGCAAAAGTACAACTTTCCCGACACGGTCGTTTGGAATCCTTGGCAGGAGAAGGCGCGCGACATCCCGGACTTCGGCGACGACGAATTTCCTAACATGATATGCGTCGAGAGCGGACACGTCAGTAGTCCGGTTGTACTATTGCCAGGAACGGCCTTTGAGGCAAGCCAGATATTACAGGTACGTATATTTCTATTCTAAACGCGAAATCGTGTCCGTCGAAATCGGCGCGACGGCGGTTAACGGTAATCAAATATTATAGATGTGTATCACCGTGATAATCAAGTTTACAAATCAATAAGTCTATATTTGTGCGTAATTGCGTACAGAAAATTCGAATAATTATCGATACCGCGATTGAATCTCAACTCTTCGCGAAGGTATCATACGTGCGTAAGTCGTATGATCTCACATTGATAGTTTGATGTTTTAACGTTCTTGCATTTTATAATAATTTAATTTAATTTGTCAAAACGGTCGATTATCAGAACGTACACGCGCTCATAATTAATTGCGTGATAAAGCATACTCAAGTCGTCATACTCTCTTATCTGAAATCTTACTGTTATCCGTAATTACGATCATTCGTAATGAGTGAAACTACTCATTACGTCATAATATACGCTGCGAATAGAGAATAACTGACAATGAGGCTAATTGTTTTTTGCACTTCAGTCCAATGGACTACTATTTGCAAACTAAATATTTCTAGCTTTTTACAATTATAATTACAATTATAATTGGCAAGACAGATATTAAGAACTTTATACAGAATGAGCAAAGTAGTGTTTCTTTCGATGAAAATTATTTATTATTAAAATAGCTATCAAAATACGTTATTAAATCACTGTTATTGTTATCAATTAAATATTAAATGCTCTGTACTGTATGATTTTGTAGCTTTAAAACTTATATCGTTTCAAGTTTCCTGTGAAAGGTTTTATATGATCTGATGACGACGTAACACGACTATATTAATTCTGCATAAGATAGAAATAACGAGTTGCAAATGTTACAATATTTATTCATTACTATGATAAAAATCTTTTTGCAAATTATAATTCTCCTCATGTTTACGTAAATACAGGTCTGCAAATTCACTGCTACACTCTGAAATGGTTACTGAAACGAAAAGCTACAGCTCTTAAATATACGTCCAGAAGTTAAAACTGTTGAAAACTGAAGATTCTATAGAATAATCGAATGCTATAATCCTGTTAAATCTTACAACCAATGGAGTGACGATCGAGAAAGATATGTATCAAGAAATTATGTTTTTCATCGACTTATTCTCATAGGTGATGTGAGTAGAGAGTGGACCGACGTCACACGTCAATGCTGGAGGCGGTACCAATTCACTGCTTCCGACGTCCTCAGCATCGTCCGCGGTTTGGCCAACGAGCACGGGGTGGCTTTACATGCCACCACCTCCGCCACCCCCGCCACCTCCGCCGCCACCGCCCCCGCCCCCGCCATTGCATCCATCGCAATCGTCGCATCTGCACTCGCATTGCGTTGCCCAGACTTGCACGATATGTTCTCTGAATCTTTAGGAATCTTTAGATATGAGATGAAGTCTGCAAACTCTATGCGAGCCCCCGAAATCTCTTCGTTTTCCACTCCCCTGATCGATCGTTTCCTCGAAAGACTTGATACTCCTAACACTGCATAGTGCAGATTGTATCTTTTTTTTCATCGAGTCCTTCGAGGGAGCGATGATCTGTGTAGTAAAGACAAAGTAACTTAATTAATTTTGTCAAAGAATCTGTCTTCCTTCATTTTGCTTACTTTTATCTTTATGCTTCATCCGTGCTTTACGAGGAATTACGAGAAACTAAATCCAAAATGGCCAATCGCGAACGTGAGGGATAGATCAATTTATCTCTCTTTGTTTTTCGCCGTCCAAATAACAATTCAACATAGGATTTATAAATAAGTCAATTACATTGTCTGAAGAAAAATTGTTATCTTGTTTGCACAATATTTATTTTTCTTTCATTAAAAATATTTAAAAAATTGCAAGGAGGTACTCGCATAAGTATTACGCGGAAGAGAATAGGATCCTTTTATTAGACTTTTAAAGACATTGTCTTAAAGAAAAAATTTGCAAAACGAATTAAAGTTCACTTGATTCGTCACAATAGATATGTATACATTCCATATATGAATGGAAAGTGAAAGAAATATATGTACCAGTTTCGTATTCTCATCACGTTTAGGTATTAACATACAGTATATTGTTTATAGATGTAGATTGAAATTAGATATGTAAGCGATTTTGTTAAATTTCCGCGATAAAACTTTCCCAAATATTATGATGTAATTACTCATTCCTTTCGATAAACAGATTCGATCTAATTTGCTTGCTGCAAGATGTACATTTGGAATTAGTAAATAGCACAAAATGCACTTGAGACATATTTTGTGTTATATAAGCGCTATAATAAAAATGTTCTCGCGGAAGACTTTATATATATATATATATATATATATATATATATATATATATATGTTTATAT